CGACTGGCAATGTTTTCTCATTCTGCTCAGCCAAGTTTGAAGCCTTCTTCCAGGCCTAGAAGCCTGCCTACAACTTAAGTGGCTCTTCCTGTGGGCTAAAGAGCCACTTAAATTAGACAAAGAGCCTCTTAAGTCACAGAAAGTCTTCTTAGGCTGGAAGAAGGCTGCAAACGTTGCGGAGCGGGGTGGTGGGATACATGCCGCTATCACACAAGGTTGTAAGATATACATTCTGAGATGGTTTTAGATTAAGTGGTCTGAACACTCGGAAAAAGCACATTTCCAGTTCAGTCATGTAGAGTTAATACTAATTAAGTGCCATTAAGTTGCAACAGGCGTATGACAACCTCTCATGGGTTTTTCAAGGCAAGAGATGAGCAGAGGTGGTTTGACATCATCTACCCTTGGACTGCAAGGAGATCAAATCAGTCAATCCTAAAAGAAATCAACCCTGACTGTTCCCTGGAAGACCAGATACTGAAGCTGAAGCTCAAATACTTTGGCCACCAAATGAGAAGGGAGCACTCACTGGAGAAGACCCTGATGCTGGGAAAGATTGAAGGTCAAAGAAGACGGGGATGGCAACGGATGAGATGGTTAGACAGTGTTATCGAGGCAACAAACATGAAATTAAGCAAATTCCGGAGCACGACAGAAGACAGGAGGGCCTGGCGTGATGTGGTGCATGGGGTCGCGAAGAGTCGGACTTGACTGTGCGACTGAACAACAACAACCTCTTCAGAGCAACCCTTCCGTGGTGGGCTCTCATCTAAATACTAATCATGGCCGACCCTCTTCAGCTTTTGAACACTACAAGCTCAGGTTAACCACTCTAGGTTATCCAGGCAGACTTATGTTCTTTTAAGTCCACTCAAGTCAATGGATTTAGAAGGGTGTAACTCTGCTTAGGATTGCACAATTGCATATTTAGTACATTTATCTTCACTGTCATCTTTAACACAAGAAGAAGGAGGAGGAGGAGGAGGAGATGGAGATTGGATTTACATCCAGCCCTTCACTCGGAGTCTCAGAGCGGCTTACAAACTCCTTTCCCTTCCCCTCCCCACAACAGACACCCTGTGAGGTAGGTGGGGCTGAGAGAGCTCTGGGAGAACTGCTCTTGAGAGAACAGCTCTGAGAACTATGGATTGCCCAAGGTCATCCAGCAGGTACAAGTGGAGGAGTGGGGAATCAAACCCGGTTCTCCCAGATTAGAGTCCGTGCCCTTAACAACTACACCAAAGTACAATAAAGACATGCAGTTCTTCCCACCTTTTATGCACAGAGATTTGCGTCTTCGGCATACATACCTAACACTTCAGAACACAATAATGTACAGAACAATAGCCAAGCAAACACTAATTACATGTGGACTGGATCTCCCAATGTGGGTTGACTGGATCTCCCAATGTGAAGAGTCGCCATTTCCAGCCACAGTGTGTGCATGTGTGTTTGTGTACGTGCATGTATTGGGGGTGTATAGGTTGGGGCTGGGGTGCCTGTAAGGTGGGGGTCTCCTGCCATTTTCTCCTTTGAGGCTAAAAGAAGCCCAGAGGCTGTTCTGTATTAGGGAAACCATGCATTGGAATTAAATCCTTCTTTGCCACAGTCTTGGCTGCTAAATTATACACCAGGGATACATAGTACATCTTTCTGGTGCCTAAAATGAGAGGGGGGAAAAATAGGGTGGCTGCCTCCCTTACCCTCTCTGACAATGGGACATATAATATATGTACGAGATCTATCTGCATTTATAGCCCGCCCATCCCACAAGCGGGCTCAGGGCGGGTAACATCATAAAACAATACAATAAATACAATTAAAATGAAACAATTTAAACAATTTAGACAACAATGGACAGTAAAACACAATCACGGTTCTGACAGGTCAGCTGGTTGTGGGAGGTTCCCTGGCATATTATTTGGGCAGGCAGGCGGGTGACAATCACCTCAGGGAGGCCATATTGGGATGTCTGCTGCCTCAGCCAATAGCCCGGCAGAACAGCTCCGTCTTACAGGGCCTGCGGAATTGAAGAAGATCCCACAGGGCCCTAATCTCGCCTGGGGGTATGTTCCACCAGGCAGAGGCCAGGGCAGAGAAAGCCCTGGTCGAGGCAAGATGGACGTCCTTCGGGCCAGGGACAATCAGGATATCTTGGTCCATGGAGCGTAATGCTCTTTGGGGGGTACATGGGAAGAGGCGGTCCCTCAGATATGTGGGTCCCAGGCTGTGTAAGGCTTTAAAGGTTATTACCAGCACCTTGAAGCGAATCTGGAAGCTGGCTGGCAACCAATGCCGTTGGCGGAGCACCTCCTGAATGTGAGCCCGCATTGGCGTCGATGTCAGCAGGAGCGCAGCCGCATTTTGCACCAGCTGTAATTTCCAGGTCATCCTCAAGGGTAAGCCTACGTACAGCGAGCTGCAGTAATCAAGCCTGGAAGTGACCATTGCGTGGATCACTGTAGCTAGCCCTGAGGGGAGAGAAATGGTCTCAGCAGCCTTATCTAAGATGGAAAAATGCAGATCTGGCGACTGCAGTAACCTGGGCCTCCATAGAGAGAGAGGCACCCAGTGTTATTCCCAGGCTCCTCACTTTCTGGGTCGGCACCAAATGCGCTCCTTCCAGTGTGGGGAGTCTGATACTCACATCCACCCACCCACCCTGACCCAGGTACAGGACCTCCCTCTTCGATGGATTAAGCTTCAACTAGCTCTGCCGCAACCATCCAGCCACAGCCTCCAAAGCCTCAGCCAGAATGTCAGGGGCAGAAGACGGATGGCTGTCCATCAACAGATAGAGCTGGGTGTCATCCGCATATTGATGGCAACCCAGCCCATAACTCCTGGCTAACTGGGCGAGGGGGGTGCATACAGATGTTAAATAACATTGGCGAGAGGATCGCCCCTTGCGGCACTCCACATTCAAGTGGGTATTGTGGGGAGACCCTCTCACCAAGCGCCACCCTCTGCCCCTGACCATGGAGAAAGAAGGATAACCATTGTAAGGCAATTCCCCGAACTCCCACATTGGTGAGGTGGGTTTCACTTATACCACCCCTTTCTCCTCAATGGAGAGCCAAAGTGGATTATTTTGTTCTCTGAGGCTGACAGAGTGCCAGGCCCAAGGTCACCCAGCAAGCTCCCATGGCAGAAAGGAGATTTGAGACTAGGTCTCCCAGATCCTATTCTGACACTCTAACCACTATGCACTACAGTTATCCAGGTATATGGCACGCCCTGAAATATATGCAAATGTGCACAAAGGATGGGTCCCGCTAAGGGCCTCCAAATCACAACACGGATGTGGCAAACACACTGTGGCAGCACATGCATATACCACAAGTGCTAAGCCTTCTGTGATGTATCTAGATCCATTAGTGAATGCAAAGGAGTCCTGTTGGATCAGACCTAGAGATTATCCAGCACCCTGCTTCCAGCAGTAGTCCCGTCACAAAGATAATGCTTCTCATGCACTGTGTATGCAAACACATTCCAAAAGGTTACATGTCATAGTCACGCCGTACACTGCATTGGTCAGGCCACACCTGGAGTACTGTGTGCAGTTCTGGAGGCCTTGCTTGAAAAAAAATGTAGACAGAATGGAGTGGGTGCAGAGGACAGCGAGGAGGAGGATCAAGGGCCTGGAGAACAAGCCCTATGAGGAAAGGCTGAGGGACTTGGGAATGTTTAGACTGGAGAAGAGGAGGTTGAGGGGGGGACATGATTACTCTCTTTAAGTATTTGAAGGGTTGTCACTTAGAAGAGGGCAGGGAGCTGTTCCCGTTGGCAGCAGAGGAGAGGACTCGCAATAATGGGTTTAAATTAAGGGCAGGAAGGTACCAGCTGGATATTACGAAAAACTTTTTTACAATAAGAGTTGTGCAACAGTGGAATCAGCTGCCTAGGGAGGTGGTGAGCTCCCCCTCACTGGCAGTCTTTAAGCAGCGACTGGACAGACACTTGTCAGGGATGCTCTAGGCTGATCCTGCACTGAGCAGGGGGTTGGACTAGACGGCCTGCATGGCCCCTTCCAACTCTGTGATTCTAGGATTTTATGATACTCCAAATAACATTTGAAGGAAACAAGCTACACGGGAAGGAGGTGAGGACATTGCTAGCACATGAACGAACATGCACTCACATGAAGATGCCTTATACTGAGACCATTTTTTTCAAATCACCTACAAACCCTTTTAACTGGAGATGTCCAGGACTGAACCTGGCAGCAACTGGACAAACACTTGTCAGGGATGCTCTAGGCTGATCCTGCATTAAGCAGGGGGTTGGACTAAAGAACCTGTATGGCCCCTTCCAACTCTGAGATTCTATGATTCTATGTTCAGAGAGAAACACACAAAACAGGTTGATTTGTTACTGGGAAGAGCAAACACATGTATTATTCTATGACAAGAGACACGCACACCAATGCACACCAGCGGCATTGTATTCTGTGGCAGGAACACACAACTACGCCCACATGCTTGGGATGGATGGCAGGAATGGGCCTCCTCCCACCCCCAGCATACACAGAGTACATCTACGACCTTTCCCAGGGCAGGGTGATTGTCAGCCGATAGCATCCGCCCATCGACCCTATACTAATTTGTTTGCAAGTTTAAAGACCGCCTTTGTCTTTCATAACAGCTGGTTTAATTACGTAAAACAAACTACATTATTTTATTTAATAAATGGAAGTCATTTTTAAAAAGAAAAACTCGGTTGGGCAAAACAGTAATAATGAGAAACCCACACCAGATTAAAACTGGCAAGGTGACAACCCCACAGGCTGTCACAATTCAGTCTGGGTGAGGCCTTGGCCGGCCCACGTTCTCACATCTGGATTGGATTAAACATTCCGGCTTCTGGCTGGCTGAAGTCCTGTTCCTCCCCCCCCCCTTCTGCCCCAACATCGGCTGAGTGGGCAGACAGCAGTAAGTGTTAAGGGAGAGACACAACAGTGTGTTCTGGAGCAGATAGGGGAAATCCTAGGAAATCAATACCCTTCCCGGTTCAGATCCCTTCACGCCAGATCCAGAAGGAAAAGCGGACATAACATGGAGCTTTGGGTAACGTTGCAGCTTCTGCTCTTGGGGATACTTCTGAGGACAGCTCGGGGACAGAGGGATGAGCTCAGCTCTGAAGAGGAAAGAAAAGCTTTGATGCTCAAGGTGAGAGAGCCTTCTTTTCCCTTATGACTTAGGCACGGCAGAATTGTTGGGGCAGTGTAGACCGCTGACTGGGATGGCACTGTTCCAGGGGTGTCTGGAATACCCTCGTACAAAACATGCAAGTGTGCTCTGGAATCCTTTGAAACACTTTGGGGGCTAACGGGGTGCCAGTGCTCTGCTCCCACTGAGAGCCACGGTGATAAAAGAACCCCGAACCCTGAAACAAACCTTCAACGTCTCCTTCTTAAAGGACCCTTTCTTCTTTGCCTGTGATGTCTAGGAAATGCATGCAGTCACTTTATATAACACACTAGCCTCGTCGGCGGGTGGCCATTCACCACTAAGTCTGGCAAACAACGAAAGAATCAGAAGCCCTGGTTCCTATTTAAACTTCTCTTTCCTGCCAGGAGAGCCTGGCAGTTCCAGATTCTGTGCTACGACTCCCAAGATCCAGTTATTGCCTTCCTCCAAAGAACCAAAGGGTTGTGAGTCATTCCAGTTGTAACCCTTAAAACTGCTTAATTCATCCAGAAAAACCCAGCTGGTCCAACAGCATTCACTCTGTTCTAATATAATCAGAGCCCTGCCTGCTCACCACATGGACAAATCTAGGTGTATTGGCTTTCAGCTCTGTTTTGCTTGAGCGTCTTTCCCTTTCTAAATAGTTCAGGAGTTCCTGCTTCCTATCAGCAGAAGTCGGCAGTCCTGGCTCACAGCCCCACTAACCTCCATTTTCCAGCAAAAACAATCCAGGGATTCTGCCTTGATCCACAATCCAGCAGACTACAGGCGAAAGAGGGGAGCCTGATGCAGGCCTTGTTTATGTATTGTTTTTAAATATTTGTCAAACTGCCTTTCTCTCAAACTAGTCGTGGTCCAAATGTTTACAGCGTTCATTTTGTGGATCTGGAACGCCAGTCTACTCTGGTTTTCCCAGGAAAAAAGTCGGCAATTACCCTTAAATTGTGAAAGGATTTGAGCTTGGGTAGGCAGGGCTCTTTTTGTAGAAAAAGCCCACCAGGAACTCATTAGCATCATAGGCCACACCCAACAGCAGGAACTCATTAGCATATTGGGCCACACTCCTGACAGCACAGCTCATTAGCACATTAGGCCGCACCCCCATGTTACCAGAAGTGTGGTTATCCAGCCACACCCACCTTTTGCTTGTTATTCTATTTACCTTGTTTGTTGTCAAAACCCAGGGCCTTTTTTTGTAGCAGGAACTCCTTTGCATGTTAGGCCACACACCCCTAATGTAGCCAATCCTAATGAGTTTCTGCTGTTGGGTGTGGCCTATTATGCTAATGAGTTCCTGCTGGGCGTGGCCAACTTGGGAGCCAGCCGGAACTCCGTTCCTGTGCGTTCCTGCCCAAAAATAGCCCTGGGTAGGGAAAATGAGACTACTTAATGTTGGGGCCAAGGCCTCTGGGAAGTTCTTTGTTAGCTGTGTGGGGATCTTTTTTTCTTTTTTAAAATATAGATTTAATATGTTTGCTCGCTTACACCTAGTCACTGAAAGGTCCAGCGTGAACCGAATTATCTTCCATCTCTCACAGGCCTACCCTGCTTTCGCTCCAAGCAATGCTCCCTCTAAGCAGTGGAGTCTTGTGAGCAAAATGTCTGCTTTGTGAGCAACTGGCATTAAAGTTGTGAGTGAGCGATTTGGCTGCTGCATCAGTTAGTTTGCTCTGGAGCCCTCCTTCCTGAGCCAAGACAAAAATGTGTGAGCCAGAGGCTAAAAAGCTGTGAGCTAGCCCACACTAACTCAGCTTAGAGGGAACACTGACTCCAAGCAGCTCAGGGCAGTATACGCAGATCTCCCCTGCTCCCGTCTTTCATGCTCACGATGGCCCTGCAAAATAGATTAGGAGAGAACAGCCCTTACGAACCCGCCCAACTGCTATGGTCAACTTTGGAGTCCCTGCTTTGGGTGCCCCAGCTTTTGAGATTAGACAGGTGGCAACGTGGGAAAGAGCCCTCTTGGTAGGGTTGCCAGGTCCTTCCAAGTCCCCGGCGGGGGACTTGGGGGGAGGTGTTACTGGAGGGGACGGGGACATCCCCAATGTGATGACGTCACACAGAAGCAATGTCATCAAGTTGGGGACCGGCGACCCCTGCTTCTTGCCAAAAGCCCTTTAAATGAAGTTGAGCAAACTTCAGAGGACGGCGGAAGACCGTCACACAGAAGCAATGTCATCAAGTTGGGGACCGGCGACCCCTGCTTCTTGCCAAAAGCATTTAAAGGGTCCCTTTAAATGAAGTTGAGCAAACTTCAGAGGACGGCGGAAGACCAGAAGGCCTGGCGTGATCTGGTCCATGGGGTCGCAAAGAGTCGGACTCGACTGTGCGACTGAACAACAACAAGCAGTGACCTATCTTAAGGCAGCAAGGCACAAAGAAAATGTAGATCCCCAAGGAAGCACCAAAGAAGAGGCCAGAAAAACTGACCCCTCAGGGTAAGACGACTCGTGGTCACGTGATTAGATAGGGTTGCCACTGCCACTCCTCATTGGGAATTACTTGGAGATTTGGAGGTGAAGCCAAAGGTCAGGGTTTGGGGAGGGACTTTGATGGGGTATAATGCCATAGAGACCTCGTTCCCAAGTGGCCATTTTCTGCCTGTGAACTGATCTCAGTTGCCTGGAGATCAACTGTAATAGCATAGGGTTGCCAGGTGGAGGACCTTGGGGGGTTACTAGATGGCGCGGGGATGTCCCCAATGTGATTTATTTATTTATGTATTTTCTTAAATTTGTACCCCACCCTTCCCGCCACAGCGGACTCAGGGTGGCTAACAATATAAAACGCAATACAATAAATACATAAAACTTTAAAAACAGTTCATCAAACATTTCAATAACAATTCATTAAACTCATTAACGTAATATCAAAGTGCTAGCAATTAATTTATAATGTCAAAGATGGCCTCATACATTCTATAGACCCACTTGATAATCGGCTCGTTTATCCTTCGGTCTCAGTTTCGGTCGGTGAGCACAGGCTATCAGTAAGAAACCAGGCACCAGGCTTCTATGGCCCCGGTCACACTGGGGGAAAAGACATGGCCAAAGCGCCGCTTTTTTGAGCCGCATCAAAAGAGATGCGCAGTGGCGGGATCAGACAGATCCCCCGAGCCGCCGCACAGTTGCTCCCCGGCACAATCAGATGCTGGGGGAAGCCACGGAATGGAGAGTGAGGCAGCCCGCTGCGCACGTGCGTGCCTGCGCAGTTTGCCCGGGGGCCTTGCATGCTGCCGGAGACGGGCGCGCCGGCGATCCTACAGCCGCCCTTGATGCGGATTTTCAGGTAGGTAGTAGTGTTTTCTAGAGGTTTTTTTTGATGCGCGGTTTCAGCCAGAAGGGACGGATCGGGGACGGGTGTGCTCCGCTTCCCAGATGTTGCGGTGTGATTGCACCCTTTTGATGCGCCCCTCTTGCGGGGCAAATCCGTCCCTCTTGCGGGGCAAATCCTCCCGTTTGACCG